GAATAAACATCAAGCTCAAGCTTGTGTTATAGATTTAATCATATAGACATAATGTGATAAAAAATTTTACATCCTTTAGTGGATTTATCATGTTTGGAACCAGGTGACTATCTCTTTGTGAGTATTTGCAGCATGTAAACAAAGAACGAACCCTGCCAGTTTGGCAGACAATCCCATAATGCAGTACAATGTGCTGTCCTTTCCCAAACACTATAATAATCTTTAGTTATGCTCATGGTGGTGTCTCTGCCTATGAGAGTCAATTTAGCATCACAAAACGACTTCATGAAGGAATCTAAGCTCTTTTTTCTCCTTTTCCTTTTGAATAGTTTCACAGCACATTTAAATCTTGACACCACAAATAGCAGATCTGTTTAATGTGACAGAATCTTGGTTCTTGGTTAGTTTTTGCTGCTATTTGTGTAAGGTAGAAGGCCTGTCATTGTAAGAGTAGCCTCCACACATGGAAGAGCTGTTCTGCTACTACTAAGCCATGAAGATTAAAGCATCTGAGTAAATTATTATTTTAAATATAGTTTAGATTGCTATAGATAGTGAGTGTGTGCCTGGACTGGATCTCTGTTGAGCTTTAAGCTTTACTCAACATTTTATATATATATATATTATATATATATATATATATATATATATATATATATATATATATATATATAAAAAAGCCAATACAGAAAAAAAATAAAAACAATTCTGGATGTAGTGGCTAGTGTTTTAGTGGACATAAGAGGTGCATCTAGCCCATCCATGGGCTGAAACATTGATTAAAATGAAACTGTATCTGTTCTGTCGGATGGTTAATCAATCCTTCAGAAACATGTCTGGTGTAACTTGGCCTTTAGCCCACATAAAGAATTGAAACTGAAGTATTGAAAGTTAGAGCACTGAATACAACATAGTGTACAAGGTAATATTACAAAAAGATTTGACTTCAAAAGAGGCAAGTTTCTGCTTCTTCTCGTGGAAGAAGAGTTAGGAGAAACACTGCTGTTAAAAATCCAGCAATACACACTGGGTATATCAGTGAAACAAAGCTTGGCTCTTGTGTTTAAGAGGCTCTGAACACTATCTACTTTACTGCAAGGTCAAAGGACACTGATGCTCTCCCGTTTGCTTTTAAACAAAGCAGCCAAACACTGGGTTATGTCCACCCCAGTGGCCATGAAATCAGGACAATCCCATGGTTCCTGAGGAGCTCCTGTTCCAGATTACTGGCTCTATAAAAGCTTTACTTCCTCTGTGTGCTCTGGAGACAGGAGCCAATCCAAGAGCTTGATGAACCCTGCTCTCCATGAAGGAATCTGTTGAAGGCCAAGCAGCTGTAGGAAGTCAAATTGCCTGGGCTGAGCTTCTTTGGCAGTGGTTGCAGAGGAGTTTTTACTGACCGCAAAATAAGCATATTATCTCCTGGAATAGAATCTTCTACTTTTTTGGCTTGGGCACATAGAGCATGTTATAGATAGATAGATAGATGGACACATAAATAGATAGAGAGATCAAGAGATAGAGACTTTGGAAATTGCAACATGAAGAAGCATTAGAGCTGCAAGATGAGTTATGCTTTTTATCAGCACTGTAATATGAATTTCTGCGATAAACACATTGCAGTCAGAAGAATAGGCGAAACTCATTGCTGAAATTTTGAAAAAAACACCACCACTCAAATTACATTACCTACTTACAGCACAGGAACGTTTGCTGTAAGATGTTGGAGTAAAATATTTCATGCCATAGACTTGTGCATGTTAGAGTAACATGCATAAATGGACAGAGAGCTTTAAAGCTAACACAGGTGAACAGCCAAACAATACACTGTCATTAACCCTTTGAACCAGTTGAGTTTTGACTTAAATGAAATCTACTTCCGGTTTAGTAAATCATCCACATTTCCTTAAAAATATATTACATCAATGTTATCGAAGAGAAAATGCATGGTGCAGTTTAGGGGCCTCAAAAGAGGTGGAAATTGCTCTTTTATGGCTGCTGTGAAAAAGAGTTAAGTGCATTTCATTGCATTTCACATCATCACAATCTCTGACAAATAAATACTGATGGCCGTATTCAGTGGGCAGTATAACACTGTTTAACTAGAGGAATACTAGGATGACTGCATACAGCTATTAATCAGTAAAGTGCCCGTGCTATACAGCTGAGATTGGTACCTTGATATGTCCTTTTTTATGGGTTTGCTTATTATAGAGTCGTTTGTGTAACAATGCAGAAAGCTGTGAGCGATGCAGAACAGTCTGTTCCTCCTTGCAGAGAAAAGAATGTGTCCCTAATCTCAGCTGACCATTTGCACTGGCAGTGATGTCATGGTTGTGGTGTATCATCTTCTCAGCTGGCCTTGGTGCTGTGGTTAGGCTGAAGTGGCAGATACAGGCGAGTAATGACAGTGAAACCACAGCAACCTGTGTTTATTGCAATCATTTTGAAGAGATGGTAGAGGCCTCCTCACAGAAGCTCCTGCTGATAATTGTAGTCCACTACTGCTATGCCCATTACAGTGAGCCACAAAGGAGTAGAGTAAGTAGTAGTGGAGAAGATTGCAGAGAAGAGTAATAATTTGTAATTAAGCTAATCAGCTAATGTGTACTTGTTAGCATCCTTCCCAAATGTCACCAGAAATGCATCTTCGAACAGCAATGACTGTTCATCATCTTAGCTGCCAGAAAGTATGTCAAAACTGATATTTGCTCTGCTAGCTAATAGTAATCCCTGTGATGAGGTGCTTTTGACCAACATAAAGTATATATCCAAAAGTGTCCAGACACCCTTTCTAATGAATGTATTCAGCTGCTTTAAGGTGCATTGCTGACCCAAGTTTTCAATTGCAGTTTGTTTACCTCCACAGAAAAACATTGCCCATGCCAGGCATCGGCTAGAGGGGTATAAATCGTCCCAGCATTGAGTGTTGAAGCAGTAAAGCTGCTTTCCTCTGGAGTGGTGGAGCAATCCCCACTACCTTTGGGATGAGTTGGTTTGGCATTTGTTATCCAGAATTGATTATCCACCATCCGTACCGGATGCTAACGCTCTTGTGGATGAATGCAATCACATCCTCACAGCAGTGTTACAACATCCAGTGTAAAGTCTTCCCAGAAAAGTAGAAGGGGTGGGCAAATTTCCTGTTAATACCCTTGATTTAAAAAATGTTAGATAAGCAGATGTCTGTTAACTTTTGGACAGTGTATCAGAAAAGGAGAAACATGGAACTGAAGGCTGGTGGTCGAAAATCATTAAACTCATGGTGGTCATGAACAGTAATGAACTAAGGTACCGATATCATACATTAAAAAAGTAATAGATTTACACAATTGAAATTAAACATATTTCCACACAAATAAAACATACGACATCAACACATTTATTGACCAATATAAATAAACTTAAAGATAACTGTTTTGTTGTCATCAAGTAAATTTACGTAGCGATAAATTGTTAGATTAAAATCTGCAGTATTGTTGGTTTTTGATATGCAGTCCAGTAATTTGTGCCAGCCAATCATTCTCTCTCTCTCTCTCCCTCTTCCTGTGATTTACCAGGGCTGTCTTTGATCCTTCCATCACCTTGTTATTACGGCCACAGGCAATATCCAACTGTTTCAGCAGAAGCAGTGTGTCTTTAAACTATACCCCAGTTCAAGCGCTTCAATCAAAACATTAGACTCCAGACAGTCTCTCTTCCCTCTCATGCCTGTCCCTCTCTCTTTCTCTCGTTGTCTTTTATTATGTTTAATGTTTATCTGCTAAGTATCTATATCTGCCTTGCTGTGTTAATGTAGTGTTGTCATGTTATAATGTCAGATTTTGTTGTTATTGGACATAGAGCTTTTATGCCTTGGATAAAATTTTCCTCTCAAAGCAAAATAGCAAGGGAGTTTAGCTAACCACATTTGGACCTCTGCATCTTTTCCCTTAAAGCCTTTTGCCCACCCTTGATTGATTTTACAGATCTGCTGTTCATTGTTACTTTTTATTGTTTTGCTATCCGGTGTCGACCAGAGGAGAATGGGTTCCTCTTTTGAGTCTGGGTCCCCTTAAGGTTTCGATGTTCAGTTTGACATAACCTTCCTGTTTCACTATTATGATTTACTATCATGAAAAGCAAAATTGCAACACAGCTGTGTCTCATTCTGATTCAGAACCCCCCAGTTACCAGTTTGTAGATAAAGTAAAGGTAAACCAGCATATAGGCTGCTCAGCTCAGTTTTATAGGCTGAGTTGTAGTAAAAGAAAAACTATTACATACTGGCCTGCTCAAACCTCTCACCCCAACCATCTGGTTCTTCTCACCTTCCCTGGGTTGTTTCCACCTCATTTTGGGCAGCCTTATCTGCCCTTTCTTGCTGTGGGTTAAAATGCCAGATATTTTACCCATCAGAATGGCAGACGGAAATAAAGGAAATTTGAGCAGCTGCCCCAGACATAGCTCAGATATTTTCAGAGTCAACATTTTTCCTCAGAACTGCAGTTCAGACTTTTCCCATAATACTAAGGTCTGTAGAAATGGCATTAAGCTCAACACAGACAGAGTAATCATGGTATGAGTCTCATTGTTTGAATAGTGTGGTGAATTTAATTTGTTGGCTAACTTATTTCCCTTATTTATACATTTACATTTTGGTTGTATCCTGGCCACATCATCCAAGCCAGAATTGTTAGTGTTATGTGGCACTAAAAGTTTTGTGTTTTTTTTTATCCATTAATTGTTTTTCCAGAATGTTTTGGCATGGTCACGGCACACTAAAAGCATTTTTATGAGAACGCAGTGCCCTCTTGTGGCTCATGAAAGGGTGTGCAATGACACCAAGTTCAAGGACAGTTTAAGATTTCAGACAGCTGAATTTAAACATCTTTACCTTGATTAGAATGTTTAAACACATCTTCTTATGTATCATGTGTGTCAGCAAATGTAGCAGCCTGCAGATATTATCATTTATGTATAAGTTAGCAATCAATTGTAATGTGTTCTTCTTTTTGTAGTCACAAACGTGGTGGAGGTACCGCCTCGTGTTATCAATGTCATCCTGCCGGAGCAGCGAGGTCACTTACTGCAGCAGCTGGGCTACATCCTGGCCACACTTCTCCTGCTGGCCCTCATTGTGCTGGCCATCATCCTCCTCACCCGACAATGGAAGACCCGAGGTTAGCAGCCTCCTCAGACAGACAGTCTTATGAATTTCTATTTTTTTCCTTTTGGCTATGAATGTATTTACATTTTGATGTCAGTCTACATTTTATTTTAGGTTTGGAATATGATCCACGCACAGCTGCAAACCCACAACTGCCCATTGTGAAATACATGTGAGTACCTGAAGTTGTCAGTGACAAGAATCAGTCAATAGCAATGACAAATCAAAAAGCCCCCAAAGTTACATACAGGTTTGAACTGCTCATGCAGGGGACAGGTTTCTTTGAGCAAGGACACAGAGAGATGCGTTCCAGAGGACAAGACATGCAACCAGGAGGATACTAAGCTTGGTGAGTTTATCAGACTGTCCCTCCATGCTGCTAGAACTTGGACAGTGACTAATGCTCTATTCTCTATTCTTTCTTAGACTTCAAAAACAACCTTCTGAAAGAGGCGGAGATGTCCAAACTTTGCTCTCCTAAGGTCATTGACTTGGACAGAGGTAAAAAAAAAATTCCATCACAAATCTACTGTATTTGCCTTTCTAAGAAACACTAAAGTGAATCAAGTTTAATGAGACAAATCTGAGGAAGTGAAGTCGAGCTGCTGATGTTGGAGGGACAGGGAGCCTTAATTAAACTTAGTGTTTGGAGCAAGGCTAATGCTCCTCTAGCCTAGTTAGTATATTTAGTGGCCTACAGATCCAAACACGACAGTGCAGGTTCAATTCCCTCTAACTGGAGCTCTGCTGTTACAAGTGTGGATGATAAAAACTGTTCTCATGTCAGAGTGAGAAATGTCGAGTGACTTGAGTGACAGAAAGCTGAAATTGAACCTTTTCTGTAGTGTTTTGAGCTGTAGCCTGCTGGGCTAGGCTAACACTAGTGTAAAGTTAGTTAGCAGGCTAAAGTTTCCACCCACAGCAGTACAGACTCCAGTTCCAGCTAACTGATGTTCGAATAACACCCGTTTAGAGGATACAGAGAACATAAAGCCTGTTAGCCATTGCCGAGCCACTATCGTGTGAAGCTTTTTAGAGGATTTCCTGGTTCTGATTTAGCAGCACAGCAGATGGAAAAAGAAACCGTAATAATCTCACAAGTCCACACGTGCAACAGCAGTATGGACCTGGGGACCATTTGCGCTGCAATGGATAAGAGGCCAATGCATATTTAGTTTTGTTAACCCAAAACAGACTTAATAGAAATCATTAGGCAGCTGCTGAATTCCTTCTGCCCGTTGGCTTATATTGACTTTTGAGCCAACAAGTTGTCAGTTTAAGTACAAGGAAACACATCAAAATGTTTATAATCAATAGTATGACATAGATGCAGCAAATACCGATTAGGTTAAGAAACACTGGTCATTTTTGCTGATCCCAGTCTTTCATGCCATCCAGGGCAACTCCTTATATTTATTTTATTTTTTTTGTACTTCTCACTTAATCATTATTTGCAGAGATGGTGAAGTCGTCCTGGAAGTGAGAGACAAGATGGCCCCTGGCTGGTCCAGAGGCGGATACGAGCAGAAGAATAAGAAGAGAGGATGAAAAAAGAACGCGTAGAAGAGAGGAGAGGAGATCAGAGAGGTGTTTGTGTATCTGTCTATGTGTGTGCTGTTTCAGTCTTCGCTGTTTCAGGTTCGCATATACTGCTGTCGTGGGGCATTACTGCCGGAAGGAGTACAGACTTATCTTTGGATCAACGACTCTGTGGTGCTGCAGCATCAACAGCAGGCTTACTGTACTACACAATGGACCACACACATTAGTGATGTTCTTTCCAGGGTACTATTCTATCTTGCACCTTCAAACACAAATGTCAGCGCCTTCGGTGTGCTGTTCAAGCAAAGCCATTGATTGCCTTAAACATATATTTTATGGTCTGTGCATGGACTGCATCATGTGCGCTATCTGTGTCTTTAAGAACTCAAACAAAACTAGCGCTTTCCTCTGTGATAATGTGCATATATATTAGGTCATTTCCATACAGAAATGCATTTATTAGTTAATGAGCTTCAGATAAAACTTTGATAAAAATGCTAAAGCTTGTGCCTTGAGTCATACTGTAATTTTTTTTCCAGCTAAAGCTCCACAGTAGTTAAGCTTTGTTCTAATTCCTCTTTTTTCTTATTTTTCAATGTTTATGTGAATATTTTTAACATATTGCTGTGTAGTTTGGTAGTTTATTTAAGCTGTTTATTAAAGCCTAATATGCTTATTACTGGCATAATGAAACAAGTATTCAACTTCAAGTGTTCAACTTGAAATCGTTCTAAATAGAACCATGAATACTTTTACTGTAGAATTGGGACCTATTTTTCAGCATTTGTAAGGCGATATAAATTCAAGTATCCTGTGCTTGCTGTATTTGCTTATGTTTAAATACATTATTCAGACATATAGCCTACAGAATTACAAAGTGCCTTTCATGTAGAGTATGTTGCTTTATCCACTTTTGGATCATTTAAAAGACATTTAAGGCTAAAGCTTCAAAAATGAACACCTAGACAGTGACTATTTGTTCAGCATTTTTTAGTCTTTTCACTAGTTACCACTTATCTAACCATTACTTGTAGAAAGTCTTTTGACCAGATAGCTTCTCCATCTCATCCACAGAATACTTATCCTGTCTTGTTTTTTGCAGACCTTAATAACCTCTGCCCTCCTGTCAACCTTTGCTGGAGCTCTCCCATCTGTTTTCCTAACCTTTCTGTTTAATTGGTTTGTGCTCTTGTTTATTCTTTGTGGCCGCTCTCATTTCCTGCTTTTTGATGCTTTCTGTGTAACTGCTCCCCTTAAAGCTTCATGGCTGTAGATGTTCAGAAGCTGTGAAGCCATCTGAAACTGAACGCTTATGAAACCGCGCTAAAGGCAGCATGGGACACATAAATTGTGTTTATTATTCAGCTTCAGTAATGCTGTCGTGGCTTGTATTGTCATTGGAAGCTAGAGCTGCATACTGACAGAAAAAAAACGATGTATGGGGCCTTTGTAATGAGAAATGTCAATGGCCAGTATGACACCCAGTTATTCTTGTTATTTCCTCAGTAAATGTAATACACATGATTTAATACTGAGAAAATAGGAGGAAACAGCTGGATAGACCGTAATGCTACAATCACACTATCCAATTCATTTTTAAATGGACACTTAATTGCCATATGGCTCCTGGTGTACTGTTTCTTCAAATGGCATGAATTGTTATGGGTACTGATGATGTCATTTTTCTCTGGTCTGCTCAACCAAGTAACAAAGGCAAAATGTCAAAAAATTGTATTAATAAAAGGCATACCAATAAACTTTTAATAAATTTAAATTTCAACTTGGCTTTTTATTAAATAAAAGAGTCTTATGTTGTATGTAAACATTGTTATAGGTTCAAAATGTAGCATTGATTCCCCACTCCATATGGAAACTAAGCTGCAAAAACAGTTGTGGTTATGATGTCACTCACACAATGAACATATTTACATATGACTGTCTATTTGTTTACAGCAGTTTAGCCTCGCCCATTTAGCCTACAGCAGTTTAGCTTCACCAGAGAGAACTCATGAAGTGAAAACTGTCATGTAAAAATATTTCTGGGAATGTGGTTTGGGTGAGAAGGCGGGGAACTCGTTTCCCCTTTATGCAGACAACAGAGACTCAAGCCCTATTTACACCAGTGGGAAATTCTGTCCATTATATTTCCCCCTTCATGATTACAGCAAAATTGTGGCTATTTTTGTGATTGCTGGAGTCTTTGGGCTATTTTGAACATAACATTTTTAACCTAAACACAGAGAGAGAAAGAGTTTTATTGGCCCCTGGACATGGAGGAGGGGCGAAGTGCATGACACAGACAGGAAGTGTAACGTATGCATCCTCTAAGTTTACCTTCTATATGAAGATGTCTTTGGCTTCACGAATTCACAAAGAAATGTAATTTCATAAATTACATGATATTTTTGGTACATAAAATCATGTAGACATGTTGAAAGTGGACCAAAGTGGAAGAAGTACAATGCAAGAAAAATAAAGAATATGGCCCTTTTAATAGTTGAACAATGAAACCTATCCAACTGATGCCTGAAATCACCTCTCTCTCTCTGTCTTTGCAGTTCTTAGTAGAAAGGTTTCTGAAAATTCCTTTCACTTTGTCTAAGGTCAGTCTTAGGATAAGTATATGTCTGGTATGTACTTCAGTAATATCACAAACCCTGACAAATTTCCACAAACACTGCTCTCTTTGGCTCTGTTATATAAGGCAAGATGATAAAGACATTACGTGAAACGGAATGAGTCAGGAAATGTGAGCCTTGCAAGTAGCTGTGTTGTTGGTAGTCATCTCTGAGTCAGTTCTGGCCTACAAAAATGATTACATCACTAATGTGTGGCAGGAAGATCACCTCTAGAGGGCAACAAAACTAAAAAGAAAAAAAAAAAAATAAGTAAACCACAAAATAATTGAAGATGTCTAATGTAATTTATCATTCTGATTGATGTGTTCCATGTACTCTATGTAAGATGACTGTGATCCAGGGCTAATGCTTCTGCCCACAATGTGAACTGCACAGTATTTCTGCAAGCAAAGAAAGCTGTTGAGAAATGTAGATATTTCACAATGAAATCCTATTATAAATAATCCAAACACATAATTAAATCTTATCCACAGATTCTACTTATAATACAGTTGGTTTGGATCTAATGCTGCCTCCAGATTTCACACTTCCCAGTAACTTATGACCATCTATGAGTGGAATCTCTAGTCACTGGGAAACATTTCACAGGAGCACCATTTGTAGAGTAGATTACAATGCAAGATGTTAACACACTCTGCAAAACATTTCTTTTTGCTAATTCATTTTTAAGGCAGACATTTTATGTAATTAGGTGCATACGACTGAAGTGTAGTTAACACAAGTGTATTTTCACAAGTCCTAACAGCACATCTGATTTCTGATCAAGAAGACATGGACTGAATCTCAACTCCCTACTCCCTATGTAGTACACTACCTAGATCATGAAAGAATGGCTTCTGCCCTAAACAGTGTATTACGTCCCACTGCCAGTAAAAGAACTATATAACATTAAATACAAATAAATATAAATACAGTAAAACATAACATTTTTTTAGAAAGCTGCTGATATCTTGGTTAGAAGAACAACACTTCTTACTGTGCTCCAGCTATTACATGTAAATATTAAATTCCATCACCTGCTCACCTATTTCCTTCGTATTTCAATGAAGGACTGATTACTTGAAGCAGGTATTGGATGGTGACTGGAAATACTGGACTTCATTGAGGAGTTGTTTGGAAATTATTAAGCTAACACACACACACACATAAAATCACAATGCTTTTGTTTATTTGTATTCATTTTAATCTTTGTATTTTCTTGACCAAATAAATGCTAACTAATCATAAAAATAGCTTTACATTTAATTTTCTCAAATAGCCTAAGACCTTTGCACAGTACTGTGTAGAACAGTATTTGGGTAGAGAAGCCATATTTTCACGACTCACATTGTGCACTATGTAGGAAGTAGAGACCCATTTGACAGTCAGCCATGGAGCTGGAAAAAACTTAATGAATTAACCCATCCGTGTCCAAAAACTACATTTTGTATGACAAGAATAAGTCACTTATTAGCCTTATTGTTTGATTATTTTTTAAATATTTCTTCAGATTTGTGGGGTATGTTTCAGTATCTAGTCACATGAGTGTCAGGTCTGTAGTTACCTCTTCTAATTAGTAAATTCATCTACTTTACGGTAAACCTATTGCTGACACAGCTTGTATGATCTCCATAGAAAAGCATTGCCGAAAGAAGCACTTGAGCAGCCACACATGGTCCTAAGGTAGGGGTGTCCAAACTTTTTTCAAAGGGGGCCACAGTACTGTGTCAAAATACTCAAGCGCCAAAATATTATATACAAATGATTCAAAATATTTTTTTTCAAAATATCAGCACACAGAATCTCTACCATGTTCCCTATCACTGTATAAAAGATGCATCAGGCTTCTTTAATTGTTCAAATGCTCAGACCAATTTGGATTCAGTAAGCGCTTATCACAAATAAGTAAATTGTTTAAGCATATTCCTACTGAAGTGTTTACTTTTGTTCAAAATTGTGAGACAAATTAATATTGCAGCGACTTTATTAAATCACCTTATTAAATTAACGGAACAGATTAAACAGCATAAATAACATGTTTTTGTTCGGCCTTAAAGGGTTAATATTTACTGAACTGCTGATTTGCTCTGATAAGAAGTTAGTGCCGTGAGATCTGGGAAGCTGCAGTTGCTTTAGTTTCTCTGCTTTCTCTCCTCCTAAATATTTATTGTAACGTCCAGGCTTTGTTTCATGTTTATTGGTATTAAATTCATTATAGTCTTTTGACATATGAGGCATACACATTTGCTGTGGCTCTTGATGAAAAAGTATTCAAATTTCCATCTCACCAAAATCACTGGTTCTCAATGTTAAGCTTGTGCTTTATGTCTGTAGTCTTAACTAAATATCATTCAGTAAATAAAGCTGCAGTGTCACTACCCAATTTGAACCAGAATACTGATTTGGACTACACATGTGTGAATATGTATGTCAACATACCCTTTTTGGACTACGCATGCACAGGAACATCGTAAATGATATTGGAAATTTAAATTTTAGCTAATTTCGTTACCAATGTCATGTTACGGTGCTGCTGCAACCATCAGGTGAAAGGAAAACCTGCAACATACTGGCCACATATAACACACTCTAAAAGCTAGTAGCCAAGGGCCAATTAAAATCTGTCCACAGGGCCACATTTGGCCCTGGGGTCAGACTTTTGACACAGCTGGCTTGAGGTCACCATGCCCAGGTTTCAGCTAGAGGGAGATAGAATACCCCAACACAGGGCTGTGGAGCAGTGGAACTGACTCTGGAGTGATGGAGCACCATCAACTACACTAAAGCCTTCCCAGAAAAGTACAAGCTGCAAAGGCTGGACTCCCTATTAATAACCTCAATTTCGGAGAAAATGCCAGTGCAGGGGTTTACATACATTTGGACACATAAGCATATTACTATACTATACATACTAAACGAATTAATTAATTCTAATGGTGGCGTACAACTTTTGACAAACTATTTAATATGGTATTATGTGGTTTGGACGCAGCAATTGTACATGACTGAGAAAGCACAAAATCATTGGCCTCTGGAGTTGGAAACGTTGGGCTATTGTCATATCCCAACAATATAGCCCAGAGCCATTTTAAGGCCTCATGGTGGCAGCACTAGACACAGAAACGGCTCAGAATAATAAAAAAAAAAACTCGCCGTGTTCCCGGCTGATTCTCTGAAGGCTATGAACCTTCCCTTCCTGTTTCAGCACACAAGCTGCATAACGTCCGCACACTGAATCCCATCTGACTGCATTAGATGCCTACCAGGCTTCCATAATGTCTGCCTTTCCATCTCCAGCGACAAAGAGGCGGTTCATTCCTTTCCTCGATCGCGTTACATGTTTTGTTTTATTAATCTGAGGACCTTATTTCATTGCACTTGTTTCTCGCAATAGTCCTGTACGGCAGGAACACTCACTGTCCTCCGGTGATTGTTCCCTCCATATTCTCATGGCGGAGACTAAAATTATTTACCATATAGACGAGGAGGAAACTCCTTATTTGGTGAAACTGTCAGTTGCTCCAGACAAGGTAACTTTGGCAGATTTTAAGAATGTCCTCAATAATCGTCCGGTCAACAGCTACAAATTCTTCTTCAAATCTATGGATCAAGATTTCGGGTAAGTAGCCTGGTCTATCTACGTTTACAATGTTGCATGTAACGTTAGTCTCTTCTGTCATAAAACGATTCCGCTGGAAAATGGGGCTTAATGAGAATATACATGCATGTAGTCTGAAAATGGCATTCGTTATGTCTTCACTTGTGCTGCTGTTCGAATGAAGCTGTCATCTCGGCAGCGACGTTATTGCCACCTTCCTATGACTAATGGCTTTATCACCTGCTCCTGCTCCTATTGTAGGGTTAACAGCAGAATAGGGGTTCACCTTATCTTACCGAGAAAAAAATAGTCTTTTATATACTTAACTACGTTTGACTTCGTTTAATGTATTATGAGTATATATTGGTTTAATAGCCTGAGTTTAGCATTTTTTTCAATAATGAGCGAACAGCAATGATTGTGTAATTTTAATGAGATAAACGGCTCCAGTGTAGTCTACAATTCCATTATCTTGCTTATTCCCAAAGCCTATTGTGACGTAACTATTGTATATATACGTTATATTTCCTTTCTTCCTGCCCTTGCGATGTTACTCGTTAAAAACCTATCACAGTGATTCACAAGCGTTTAATGCTGCTGAATCTTTTACTACGTTGTGTTTGGGGCAATAGAATAATAACACATGCACGTGTAACTAGCTGGCTAAATACAATGTGAAGACATACAGTATGCTAAAGCTTCCCCTTACCTTACACTTCGCTCTTTTCCCCAAGCATTGTCCCTGCACATGTGCACCTACTTTTTCCAACCTGACAGGGCTAACTTTACACAAGGTGGGTTTGCCTGCCGGTAGAGAAAAAAAGCACGGTGTGTTACACTATACCCATCTTCAGTAGCCTGTTTTGACAAGTTACGTGTGGCTGTTCCAGCTGTCGTTTGTAAAGGTCTAAGAAGTGCTTGCTCAGTTGCCAGAGTAGGCCGCTCACTAGCTGGAATACTGTAGGCCTAACTGTAAGCGCGGCTATCCGGGAAATCTCTCTGTCTTCGGGAAGGCGAGTGCCGGGGACTAACGGCCTGTCATTAAGTTAGTCTCGTCCACTCTGCTGCGGGCTGCAGCCACTGACGAAGAGCTGGTCACAGCGCACTCGCAGCCTGAGCTGGTTTCGTTTTCAGTGAGAGGTGTGTAGGCGGCTAGACAGAACTGCTTGCGCCTGGTTAGCTACGGCACTAAGACATACAGTCAGATCTTGGCACCTACTCAGCGTGGGTGCTTTGTTGTGGTGTCCGTATTGTTCGAAGGTATTGCCTTATAGCTACCTCTTTCATCACCAGCTGTATTTTGAGGCATGACTGACGGATAAGGTATACCTAATTACAAATTTAAGGTATTCTGTACATAAATGAAGATCCTATTTTTCTTCAACAGTTCAAGGAAAGCACAGTGTTAGCAATGTTAAAGTTGCTCTGATAGCTGTTGTACTTTTACAGCCACGAAGTTGAAAACTGACGAGCCGAAAGATTAAAATATGTGATATGCATTGATACTGACAAGGATATTGGTTGAATTTTGACAGTAATACATTATATTCCAAAGTATCCAGACAGCCTTTCCACTTAATACATTAAGCAGCTTTAAGCTAGAAAAGCATTGTCAAAAGAAAGGGACGCTGTGGAGCACCTGCACATGAGCCTTAGGTCACAATGCCCAATGCTAAGCATCAGCTAGAGCTCCTTTGCATTGGAACAATGTTCTCTGAAGTGATTGCGCTCCACTGAATACTTTTGGGATGAGTTTGAGTGGCGTTCCCAGAAGAGTAGAGGCTATTACTGCTGCAGTAACAGGTAGAAAAACTCCATATTAATACCCTTGATTGCAGAAGAATTGAATTGATTTGAACTGTCTGCTGACTTTTGGACATGGTGTTTATTTGATATTATACGGTTGCTCTGATGTTGCAGCTGTACTTTTACAGCCAAGAAACTGAATGCTGAGGAACCTGCTTAAGAGCTGGAGGTGACATGAATTGACATCAGCTGTGATACTGATTGGGAAATGTATCTCGGTGACAATAACATCTTGTGTCTGCCTGCTTATAGTTCTTTTTGCCAACAAATCTACTGTGGCTAATGTAGTTATGGCTTTTGTTATGATGTGGTGCAGCATCACTAATTAAGAATAAATGTTATATCACCTTTTTCGCAATAATACTGTATTTAAAATTCCTGACAAAATCTTAATTTTAGTTTCTACAAATATAATATGTATTGTCTTATTGCCAGGCACACAGTACAGTTAATTAGATACAGAGCACTGCTTTATAATACATTGCCACCCCGCTGGATGAGTTTTTGCTTTTCTGTGATTACAAAGTGTTTAAATTCATATTATAACTTGAGAAAGAATTGCTATCATTACTATTATGCCTTGAAACTCAAGTCTTGTCTGGGTATTTATCCAGTCTTTGAACTTTGTATTGGTGCCACTTAACACAAAGAGTGATTGCCACTACCACCGACACAGATACACATTGCATAGACCTTCACACTATTGCCCCAACCCTCCCACCCTCACTGAACTCATTGGCCTACACACTGTTTTATAAGTGTCTGAATTATTTCACATGATATAACAGTCAGAGCCAGACACAGTTCCTCAAGGGAGGGCAAGCGATCCAGAACATCACGCTCATTCAATCACTGGGTCAGACCACATGAAGTGTTAGAGGGCAAAGCAGTGTACTGGCTTTATGACGTTGTTCCGGAGGCTTACACGTACTGTAGTGTTTGCACAAGACATTTGCAAACAATCACATAGACAGGCATGTAGATTAGGAGAAGCAAGAGCATTTTCCTGTTGAATTCAGTTTGATTGTAATAGATAAGGCAGATGTAAATGCTTCCGTAACTGGTGGTGCAGTAGATTACAAATAGAGATTTAACAGCTCCTGAATTGTTCATGTAAATACACTTGTTAAGCTGTTTACACCTAATGATTAAATTCATAACCGAGTGGATTTCTTTATCTTTACATGTTGATGGGCAGGTTTAAATACTCCAGAGTCATAAATGAATCATGATGGGATCTTCCAAGCTGCCTGCAGACGCACTTCAGGTCAGGATAAGCTGTGATTAGGTTGTGCAGAATTGTAAATGTTTTAGGCTATATGGCAGTGTCAGGCCAATATCAGCAGAAAATGCTGGACCAGATATCGGAAGGAAAAAAGAATCCTGTAACACATCTATCCTGAGACAGCACCCACTCACATTGTATGATGTCATGTCGTAACTGTGTAGTTGTTCCTGTGGGGTGGCGGAGTGTTTGAGTTGTTTTAACATGATAGTCTATTTTAAGATGTTTAAGTGAGATCCTAAGTGAAGTGCTTCAATTAAAAATTCGTCATTTGGAAGCTTAGTAGTTTTAAAAGAATAATATGTCCATCTGATGTTGGATATCGGTATTGGAAAAGGAAAAGTGCTATTGTGCCAGTGTACAAAGGTGATTGATGATTCTTCAGTGATTGTTTTCAGATATACATGCCCATGAAATGCCCACAAAATAATAAAAAAATTTAAAAACTGAGTATTCTAAGTTTAAACACCAATGCTTTATCGCCAGTACGTCTCTTGTTCTCTGCCAAGGGTTTGTCATTTGCTGTCTTTTGTGTTAATGATCAAAACTAGGTGTCTAGGTGTATCCTGTCAGAGTAAAGTGGGTGGGGCTTATGCCATGTGCGCACAATTGATCAAGTTTTCCAAATTTGCTTATAAAATCTAGGCTTACTATTTTTATGGGGCTTATTTTGTTAGAGGGCATTTCAATAGGTGTTGAAAAAGTCCTATTTGAACTTTTTGAAAACCAAATGGAACCTCAAAGTATGTGTATCATTACAAGTAAATTTAGTGTACTTTAAAGGGCTCATACCATAAAAAACTGAATTTTCCATACTTTTTGTGAGTTTGATGTAGTATGTCAACATTGTTAAAGTTTCAAAATGTACCGTTCTCTCCCCTGTCCATATAGTTCATATATGGCAACAAACACAGCCCATTTTGAATTAACTGTTACTGTGATGTCATGAAAGTCAACACATTTATATATATATTCACCACTTCAGCCTACAACATTTTAGCCCCACCCATTCACAGTGCTTTTTGAATGAGTGATAGTTAGTAGCAGGCGACACACCTCCTGCTACCTTGTCCATTGCATCTGAACGAGTACACTTTGTTTTTGAGTGGACACAAAGGAATGGCTGGTCTTTTGGGGTTAGCTGTGGCATGGGCATCAGATGAAGCCACAGCCTTGTGCGCAAAACAAGCTATGGACCAGTTGGTAATAATAACTGCATAACTGTCAAATTGCAGCAGTGTCTGATGAATAGAGGCACGAGTATATGGGATGCACATATAAGACAAATGATTTTGACAAAATTTGATGAAGTTGCCCTCTTATTCTAAATTCTGGTTCCACCTTAAATGTTGCCGGTACATTCAAGTGCCTGTACAAGAGGAATGAAATTTCAAACAAAATTAAGAAGCCAACTTCAGCCTTGTAGAAATTCGGATGTGAAACAACAATTAGCATCATTTTGCTGGATCTGCAGGAGAAGTGTTGAAAAGCAATATTGACATAAGTTTCTCTACATATTTTTTAGTTTTGTTTTTCCTATTTTGCACCAAAAAAATTCAGATTTACATTGATGAAGGGACATCCCAGAATAATAATGCACTATTTACCTACAGAAATAGGTTTACATAGACCGAAACTGTTAGAAATTTTATCCACTGTAATTATACCATAATATACATAATTCCCACTACTTGGCACAATACAGGGCGTCCAATAAGAACAGAGGTTGTATTCATATATCAGCAAAACCACTCTGTTTAATTCTAAGACATAAAGAAACGTTGGAAAATGGTCATGTTAACATTTATTATGACTGTTTTTGGTACATTAAACCACACATAAGTCATATGTGGACATCAGTGAAATACATAGAATACAAGAAAAATAAAATAATAAAAATACCAATAAAATAGCATATGGGCCCATAATG